ACTAGGCAAAAGTTGGGAAAAGAAAAGGAACCAAAACAGAGAGAAAAATGTAAAAGAATACTCTTAAAGTAGAAGCATGAAGAAAACTAAGACAAAGAAGTTATCCTACAAACCACCTATACTATCAGATTCAGAATCAAATAGTAGTGGATTAGAAAGTCTTTAGTTTCCAGAAAAAGAATATTAGATTGTGCTCTGGATTAGGAAATCCCCAATTGCCTTTTGTAGAGTTACTATACTTGGAATGTCTCAGACTATTAGACTTCACTATGTAGTATATAAGGCAGACACTTGCTTAATGTCTCAATAAGAGAGAGTACTTGGGGCACTCCTACTATACTTGTTAAAAGGTTATGAGCCTTAGTGCCTATTGAATGCCTCTACACACTCACTCTTACAGAACACCTTTGCCTCCTGCTAGACCACCAAGCCCTAGACCTCCCTCTCTCCCCAAACCCATTACAATGTTGTCTACAACACATACCTTTGTTAACACTACAATGAAGGACTCTGACATTACAAAGTTCTTTGAGGGAACAGAAAAGTTGGCTAGTGTAAAGGGATACAAGATATGGTGCTTGTATATACACAGTACACTTACTACTATAATGCTCTCAGACCATCTAGAGCACAATCCCCCTTCCTCTAATGATGCTAGCATATGTACAGGCAACATTTTGTATCATTATTATTTATGTAGTGCTTTTAGTAAATGCACTGAGTTCTATTAAGTATGCTTGCATCTGTTATTACCTATTTTATATTATACTGTCTGAGATAATGGCTTAAACATTTTATTAATTTATTTAATCATATTATATTATGATTGTTTTTGATTGTAATTATTATAATAATGTGTTTGTAATAATTATATTTGTATTATTTGTTGTAATAGCCTTATCAGCTTAATACTTTGCTCCTACAAGCTACATTGTCACAATGTAAATTTAATAATTGTTTGTTAAGGTATATATGCTGTACAGTTGATGTTGCTGTTACAACTTCGAAATTTATTATATAATCAACTGTTGTGAAAAGATGTTCTGTGTAATTAAGTTGTATTGTTACATTGTTTTGAGTATAATAGAGATATAATTCTTTCATTTGTTGTTAGTATACATTTACACAATTGTATTAATGTGTAAAGTAGTATCATTTGTTTAATAATTATAATTTTGCACTTGTCTTGTGCTGTAGTTAGTATTTATGCATTATGACATTATTTCTTTGTGTGTAGTTAGTTTATACACTCTGTAGCATTGTTTTTTGGTTTGTAGTTATTTTTTATACTTGTGCATATCTGTACTTGTCTGTATATCTTAGATATGCATATTATATTCAATATCTGATAAGTAATTGCAATATCTGACATGTAACTGCTGAATCTGACATGTTTCATAATAATCACTCAACCATAATATGTATTAGTTATTATATTGTTCTGTATTTGTTCTGTTAGTTCTATCTGTATTATTATCATTATTATCATTATAATTATAATTATTAGAGTGTCTGCAATTATATTATTGTTTATAATACATATTAAATGATTTAGTTATTCGATTTAATATGCTGTTTAGCATATATGTGCTCGTTTTGAGCATTAATCATTCAGCTGTGATATTACTATATATGTTATTATTTGATTTATGCTATAACATATGTGTGCTTGTTGACAGTGTCAATCATTTGTACTATTGTAATGTTAATAGCAGATGAGTAGTGTTTGCTTTCTCAATCTTTCTAATGTTCGTCCATAGTATGATCAGTTAATTTATTATAACATGATCTCTGTGATATTATAGAATATTTTAGCATTTAAGTATTGTAGTAAGTGATACTCATTGTAGTTTCAATGTTGCCTGCATAGATTATGTTATTACTGGGCCAATAATCATAATCACTAAGATGATGATCATATAATGTTTGGGTTGTATGTAGTATAGTAGATTGTGTGTCCACAGCATATTGATTCACGTTTAGGATACTCAGACAGGTGAGTCGAGTTCTGTGTTGTAGTATGTTGTGTGCATGCATGTGATGTGTAGAACTGTATAGAGCATAGATGTAGTAGAGTGTAGATAAAGCATAGGCAGGGAGCACAAGGCTCATAACCTGTTAAGAAAGGGAAGGGAGGTTATGTGAGAGGCTTAGAGGGATCATACAAAGAGGGGGGATAGTGGACTCAGCTTGCTCTCTCACAACTTGCTTCATTGTCCATTGATTAGTTAGTCTATGTATACTATGTAGGTATGTCTCAGATGTAGAATGTATGATGGAAGGTATTCCATCATTGTTTGTCATTGCTTGTAATGTAGTTTATATTATCTGAGACATACTCTTGTGTAGTCTTGTCTTAACAATATCAAATATACTTGTTTGCCACCAGTTTTTACAACTCCCAGCTCTGAATACATTACACAAACAAAGATCACAATGTACAAAATCCTTACAATTGTCCAGAACAGGTATAGCTTCTCTGTTAAAGGTTTGCAAGTTCACAATACTACTCCCAGCACTGGAGAAATGTCAGACAAGAAGGAAATCAAAGTTATAATCAAAGAGACTGAAAAGTAAAATGGATGTCAGAATATGTACTACAAATAATTCTGTGCTACAAACAATCACACAAAAAATTCAAGTCCAGAGTCCAGTCTGAGTCTGGACTGGTCCATCAGTCTGGGAAATTTCTCAATTTGATGGATGCAGGACCAGACCCCCCTTGGACCTATGAGGACCAGACTGTAGAGGACTAGTCCTCAGGTCCAGTCCTGCATCCAGACCGAGTCTGCTGGGTCTAGGACCAGACATCAGCAACTATAAAGACAGTCCTATTGTCTTGAAATCACTGAAGAAGCAAAGCCTGAACATCAATACTTTCAAAGCAAGGAAATACATTAACAAATGGACTAGATGTTTAGCACTCTGCCTCTCAGGGATATTGCATTTGTAGAAGAACAAACCTGAAAGGATTGTCTGCCTTTCCAGTATATTTGCAACAGATGTAGCTACAGAGCTTTCCCCACATCCTGTAACACCATGAATCCAATAAATTTGCTGACAATGGTCTGTCAAGCACACCCAATGTTTGATGTTCTGCAGAGTGCTCTTTCTTGTTCCTGGTAGACAGCCACAGGAGAGATTGTAAGCACTATTTTCAGGTGGCCATAATTGTTTGAGTGCCTTTTCTTCTGCTTTGGAAAGCTGATGCTTGCCTGTGGATCATATAAGTAAGGATCTTTCCAAGCAATTGGTGCTTACAAATTGTCTTTACTATGTCTAGAGTATTTATCTACAGTCCAAGATTCAAACTTCGAATTGTGCATGCCAACCAATCCTTGATCCTCCAGATCTTGTCTTTTCTAGGTTTGTACCAGTTTTGAAGGATAAACTCTAAGCAGCAGAAGTTAATATGCTGAAAGTAGTAAGAGCAAAAATCTCACTCAAGGGAGGCATAGATGCATAATCCTCCAAGTTTATTGCCAAAACTATATGAAGTCGAAGAAGTTTTGGAGAATCCCTTGCACTTTGCAATTGGAAACACGCTTAAGGACTGGTCCCACTATAGGCAACAGTTCTACCACATTGTCCATGACTGAGACAAGCTCCTTGTGAAACAAAGGTATATCACAGAACCTCTGCAAAACAGCTGTTAATGCCCCTTATACAAAATTAGGCAATAATAATACCTTGAAAACTTTACTAATAATGCTAGCAGCAGCCTTTGCGAAGGGATTCACCTAAGTGTGGTATTCATTAGTAAATTTGGCAGAAGCAATTTGTGAGCTCACTTCGGATACTGCCGTGCCTAAATTTAGCACAAGATCACATACTTTGAATATCCTATCGAGTTGATCAAGCATGGCAACTTTCATCCCAAGGGCGCTAATCGCCCTAGGAGCTAACAAACGTGAGACGTCCAGGCCCTACGACACACTTCATTGAAGCGCACTCAAAATGTGGGTTGGAGTTGACATACTGATTTTGACGACCCAATTAATAGATTGATAGTAGCGACAGATTCCCGACCTAGATGCCCAGTTATTCCAAGGAACAGTCCACAGTTTGTTCTAATACCTGTCCGTGCGACTATGTTCTTTGTCCTAAATTCTTGTGAGCCGAAATCCAGATCAACCCGGTCGAGCATTCGTTGAGGACGAAAGCCTTTAATGTATTAAATCGAGAGAACTGCTTTGCTTCCTGATTTTACATATCTAAGTAAATTGTTCAACCACATCCGAATTGTATCGGAACTGCAATTCATCCTCGAGTATTAGCTTGAGCTTCGATTACGGCCGCGTGCCAACAAGCTCAACATCAATAGCTACACAAAGCATCAGAACGGGCATCTAAGGTCTCTAGAGTGCACGTGCCTTCAAGATGGATGAATCTACACCTTGAGTCAGGTTTAATGACTGAGTCTCTGCTGAGAATGGCAACAAACTCACCCTCCTTCATTGCTCGAAACTGGAGTATGCAGGATCTGTTGTTGTGGAGCCATAGTGGTTTGCAGGAGAAAACAGAAGAAATGGAATGAGATGATAAACATGGGCTGGAGGCTGTGGTGAGGCAGCAACGTGTTGATTGAACTATTCTTGGGTGTCATTTGTATAAGTCACTAACAACATGCAAGTCACAAAAGGAGAAGTGCACTGTGATTGATGCATTTGTGTACTTGTGTGGGGCGTCTTGTCGGCACACGTTGGGTGGGGCAGTGGTTCATGAGCAGGGTAACCTGTGCTTTGAGAATTAATATTTGCAATGTGAGGAAAAGATTGGACCTTCCGGAACCACCGCTTCAGCATAAGCAGACCAACAGAGCAGTTTACTATGAGCAGCCAACTAGGGCTGCATCAAGATCCGTATGAGGCTGATATTCTTAAACGCCATACAGTGCCTGACAGTGCCATGACAGATGCAGGGGCAACTCGAGTGGTATGAAATTGTCCGACTCTCTCGTAGGAATTAACTCATATTCTCTAAGGTTCTTGATGTATGAACTAACTTCGGAACAGAGCCCAACCAATGATTCCTAGGACCCCAGCACCGAACAAGGCCCAACCCTCCCAGACCGGCTCCTCGTCCTCACCCAATTTGTCTTTCGTTTCGATACTAGAGACAGTGGGACGCCATGACACAGGAAGCAGAAGAGACGTTATGACTTCTGGAATCGGTACAGACGGTGTAGAGCGAACTTGCAGAGGAACAACATGCTCAATCACTTGTGTTTCTGATTCGACTATGTCGTAAGACGACGATAAACTAGCTGACCGTCCGTGAGACAATTGTCGGGAGATTGTTCGGACGTATAACTTTCGTGCATGTGTGAGCAGGGACGGATACGATTCGGTTACCAGGCTCCGGAGAAGGTCGTTTGGGAGTGGTGTTGTTAGAAGGATGATGTGTGCGGCAACGAGAGCGTCAAGTGCTGTCGGTTCTTGATTGTTTAAGAAGAATCGTTTGTCACCGAGACGACGTGCAAGGAGATCGAAAACCGCGCGTCCCTTCTCTAATACCTGTTCCATTCGATTAGAGTGGATCGAGAGCTCTTGGTGGAAAAATGTACCTTCTCCTTTCCGAACGCTTCCTCAACAGATGTATTACTAGCAAGTCCTAAAATGCCCATTTTCTTTCGCTTTTCTTCTTCCGCCTCTTCAGTGTGTACGGTCCATAAGCCAGCCGCCTCGAGGCGAGGCTTGTATATTTCGCGTAACCGATCAGGAACGTAGTAACGTAACGGAATCGGGAAGAGCTCGGAAAGGGAGGGTCGAACGCATTCAAAGTAATTATGTCGGAGAGTAAAGAAGGAACACGCCTGACATTGTTCATCATAAACGGTTTAGAAATACATACAACACCCACAATGAGATGAAGATTGACTCACCACTAAGTCTCCCAAGTGTGCAGATACGTAGGCCATCCAAGCTATTCCTTGAGCCTGCTGTTCTAAAGATATACTTAGTTAAAATATTTTCTGTACTGGAACAGTTAAAGGACTGACGGTCTGACGAAGACCCGTTTTGCTTCAAAAGTCCATCGACATACTCAACAATAGACGGATAACTTGCTATGCTAACATTTCTATGAGTCAAGTAAGGTAAGCGCCCTACAGATCCTTAGTATTTAATATCGATTTACTGAAAGCTGAAACGAACCATCAGGTGAGAGATCTGGGTTAGTTGTTTCCTCGAGCACAAATTTGCCCGGTATAATGACTTGCAAGTAAAGTACTGAGGCGAGGCAAGCTGGGGTAAACGATGGAAGGTCCCATCTTGTTGGCCAGACGTGCAGGACGAGCTCGGGGTCATCCACCATACCTAAAGATGCAAATTGCAACGGCGCGAAAGATTCTGTTGAACATGAACGGCGGGCAAGTTGATCAGCTCGAATATAAGTACCTACCATTCTGGGAAGACTATTAGATCGGCGACGGGTAATTCATTGAGCATTCAACCCAAGTTCTTCACACCTCTACTGGGTCTACACTCATTAACTCTACAATGAAACGCACAAAGCCCTCTTCAGAGCACTCCTCAACCCCACAAAACGCAACACAAAAGAAAACACGCTTCGTCTCTCCAGAAGACGACCCAGCCCGTTTCGCAGAAGACGTGGACGCACAACTCGAAGATTCCAAGAAAGTAACGCGTAAACAAGGACGCGTAAAGACAGAAGGTTACGAATCTGATTCGAGTGATGATGGTGAGGGTGTCGTACTTAGTCGGAGGAAGGATGCTGCTGGGGAGGGAGGAGAGGATGAAGATGATATGTTTGCTGCTGGAGACAAGGAGGAGAAAGATGAGGAAGTGTCGGGCAAGAAGAAAAAGACGGAGTATCTTCGATTAGGTGACATCGAAGGACAAGAATTTAACGAAGCTTCCGGATCGGATAAAGACGACAGCGAAGAATCAGAAGGCGAACCAGAGGACGAAGACGATGCCGAACGACGGAAGAAAGCAGGCATGGGGTACGAACTCTCGTCATTTAACATGCGCGAGGAAATGGAAGAAGGGAAGTTCACTGAAGATGGGACGTTTGTTCGTACGTTCGACCCGCATGCCATTCATGACCGATGGCTCGAAGACGCAGACGACCGCGCCATAAAGAAAGCACGGCGGGCGAAACGTGCACAGGAGCGAGCGGAGAAGGAGAAACTTAGAGCGGAGGCGCGTGAAGCGCAGGAAGCTGGAGGGAAGGAGGAGATGGAGAAGGAGATGTTAACGATGTTGAAGAAGGGTGAGACTGTGCTGGAGGCGCTTGCTCGACTTGGCGAGAAAGTGAAGAAGGCGAAAGGGAAAGAGAGGAGGTGCGTTGTTCTTGCAGCCGTCTTACGAGTCGGAAGTTCATTTGACATTCGCATAAACCCAGCAACAAAAAATCACGAACTCATGACCCCTCAATGGACGTGGATAACGACTCCAAGCCTCACGCAGACGAACACCCTACTTCATTCTCCCAATTATCCCCAAAATCCAAAATCGAACACCTCACAACCCTCGCCTCAAATCTCATGTCCTTAGGAGACGTCGACATCTACAACAAAACATACGAACATCTCCTACGGTCCGTACGTTCCGGTGGGAACGTCGAACCAGATTGGACACCACCTGCCGTGAAGTACGAATATAAATGGGATGTACCCGGCTCACCAACCAGCAATCAGAGTGGCAGCGGAGCGGGAACGGACACGCAGGTATTCGGACCGTTCGGCGAGGATGAGATGAAGGCGTGGTATGATGCGAGTTACTTTGGTGAGGCTGGGGAGAAGGTGAAGGTACGAGTTGTTGGTGAGGAGTGGGGCGATTGGGACGATGTGGTGGATTAATATTTGTTTTCACTTGGACCTATGCTGTGAACAATCTATGTATTGTGTATCTTTGTGTACAATTAGTGAATCTCTGCAAGAAAATCGCTATGGCTACATGTACAGAATTGCAGGGTGAGTCTACTTCTACGTGATCAAGACATTGTATGCGGTATTCCCAGTGTTTAGTGCTTAAGACGAATACGACCAAAACGAGGTAAATTTATTAGTGACTAATGTATTGGAAGACGAAAGAAACTTCTGGTAGTCCGACCTCCGCTCGCAAAAGATCATCATGATTATTCTTCAGTTCTGGGTTGGTATAGTGATTCCATCTGCGATGTCCTCATTAGTATTCCCCTTTAATCACAGAAAGGAGACGAAAAACAAAAAAAGAAGGTAGAAAACGTACGTGCTAGCATCCCCATACAAAAGTGCTTGTGACCTAATAATCTGTTTCCCATCTTTACACCGTTTACACTTGAACGTATCATGCGTATCACACGATGTATTCTCTTTAAACGTGAATAGTTGTCTGAGCATGTCGACTGAGAAGTGTCGTTCGGCATCTTCTGTTGCGTCGACGACTGCGGAAGAGAGGGCTTGCTTTTGAGCTTGGCGTTGGAAGATTTTCTCTTCGATTGTTCCTGTTGAGATGAAACGGTATACGAAGCCTGCCAGAAGAGATGTTATGGTTAAGTATAGTGTGTCTCGAGAGATGGATGAAGGGCACGTACATTCTTTCTTTTGACCATCTCTCCATACTCGTGCCAGAGCTTGCTGATCAGCAGCAGGGTTCCAATCTGCAGCGTTCGTCAATACCATGATGATGGTAGTAGATAATACACTTCGAACTTACCCGGATCGAAAAGAATTAGCCGATTTGCACCAATCAGATTGATACCGCACCCTCCTGCCTTGCTACTCAGAAGGAAGACGAATTCAGGGCGGTTTGGATCGTTGAACTGATCTACGAGTTTCTGTCGTTTGCTGACAGTCATAGTCCCGTCGAGTCTGAAGCAGCCATAGCTTTACAACAGTCGTGTCAGCATCGCTTCTTTCTCTCGGATGTGCTGGCAGAATTACCCTTTTGACCTGCATAGTTTCTCAAATAGGTCGAGAGTTTGCGTATAATTGCTGATGAGGACGATCTTATCACCAGTCTCCGTGCGGATGCGATGCAAGAATCTAGACGAAGTCAGTCATTCATGACTTAGTCAACCAATAAGAATAATCACCTCTCAAGGACAAGGAACTTTCCACCCCAATCACATCGTACTCCCTGGTTTCTCCCTCTTTCACGAGCAGTCTGCCCAGCACCTACAAATCCTTCAGGAATAAGACCTTCGGAACCCTGCAAGTCGTTCGGAAGGTCGAGAAGCTCGGGATGGTTGCATAGTTTCTTGAGAATGTTGATAGCTTTGAGTGGTTGAGAGTTCGTCCCGCGTAAAAGGGCCTTAATCTCGGGTGAAGTGATGAAAAGCCGGTAAAGAGCAAGCTGGAAGTCAGAAAGACCGCAGAATACGACGTGCTCGTATTTGACAGGTACTAGGGACCATAATCAGTAGATAATCATAACCCTTCTGAGTAGGTACGCACAATATTTTGAGAGCAGGTCGTTTGTTCGACGAATAATGAACGGAGTGACCATGGATCCAAGCTCCTTCAGCTTGTTCTCGCATGCAGCTTTGACTTGGTCAGAAGCATCGGCATCTCGACCTCGGATGATAGCGTTTTCGAAATTCTTTCGGAAGTCGCCTTTCGAGCCAAGGTAATTCGGATTGGCAAAGTTGAGGAGAGAGAAATACTCCGATAGATCATTCTGCCTTGCTTGTCAGCGTGTAAATAAAGTAATGGGTAGCATATCCTCACCTGAATAGGAGTACCAGAAAGTATCACACGGCGCTTAACATTGAGAGCGTTCAATGCTTGAAACGTGAGTGAATCTGCACAAGAACATGTCAGTTGCTGCAAAAGGGTGAACTAATACCTTAACTCACCAGAGTTCTTTAGACGATGTCCTTCATCGCAAAGCAATAAACCGATGGTGCAATTCGCGAGGTACTCCGACAGGGTCCGAAGAGTTTCATAAGAAACAATCATGACTGAATATTTATTTTCAGCAAAAAGAACTCTCGATGATGGGAGATAATCTACCTGGTTGGGTGACAGTTTTCCCGCTAGCTGCAACCCATCGCGCAACCTTCTCAATGAGCTCCGCCTTGGTTCCCTTACCGTCAACAGCGAGGGATCCTGGAGCTTCCGGTCCGAGCCACTTTGCTGAATACGATTCATTACCTTGAGAACGATGGAAACCCCCGAAAATGAACGGTATTCACATACTCAGTTCATTAGCCCAATTCCTAACAAGGCTGCTCGGACATGCGATGATGCATTTATCGATAGTTGGTCTCACAGCGCGTGGTGATTGTTTCAGTAGCGTATACATGAGAGCTATGCATTGTAGTGTTTTCCCAAGGCCCATTTCATCGGCCATGATGCACCTGAATGGTCTCAGCTAGTGAATAAGTGTAATTAAACTCGACTCACCCGTATTGATTTTCAATCGTCATGCCGGTTGTGCATCGGTACAGGAACTGGAATGTATTGAGCTTCCAAATCCACGAATAAATCAATAAGGCATACCTTCACACCCTCGATTTGATGCGGTCGCAGCACTTTCGACAGCTTAGGATCAAGAACTACCGCAACCTTCTGTACTGTTTGCTGTTTCTTCTGATCCTCGCCCAATAGCTTGCGCAGCGACTTATGCGGATTAAACATTCCCTTCGTCTTTTCCTCCGCTTCCTTTGCCAATCGCTCTTTCTCCTCTTCTTTCTCCCGTTCTCGTTTTTCTTCGTCTGTTTCCTTATAATCAATTGTAGGGTCGTACAACACGATGGCGTGATCTTCCATCGGGTCATGGAGAGGACGCGGTAGCAGCACAGCCAGGGGTCGAATACCCAACGAGACTCCCGACAGGACGGTTGGTACAATCTCGCCCTTGCTATTCGTCATGCATGGTATCGAGAACCTGCGCGCCACGACACTTTGGAAAGGCTTAGGCTCAAACTTCGGAAATCGCTTGAGATCATGAGCGGCCAAGTCAAGCTCAGGAGGTCCATTCTCATCTCTTCTGCGTTTCTTCTTCTTGTCATCGTCGTCCGAATCATCTTGGTCGCCGCCAGCGTCCTTGTACGATACCCGCCTTCGTTTCCGTTGTGGTTGTTCACGAGTCTTGGTAAAAGATGGAGGTCTGAATGGCTTGTTGACGCGAACACTTTCTTGAAGCCGGTCGACAGGTCTGCCGTCTGGCGTCACAGGCTGCTTGCGTAGCATCGTGGACACGGGAGGAGACGCGTCGCGGGGCGTGTTGCATCATCAGACCAGTCATTGAGTCACGTCAACAACGCCTCAACAGGGCCAAACAGGGCCAAACAAACCTCCCTGCAAGCACCTGAAACACTGACAAGCACTCAGAGTTAAAATAAATAAATAAAATATATGTAGATAATTGCTACAGTGACATGCTTTCGGGAGGCCAGCGATGGTTTGCTGCGTCAGTGACCACAAAGCAAAAAGACGCATTCCAGAATCCAGATGTGAGGGTTCCTCACATTCACTGGAAAAGTAAAGGGTCACCAGACACTACTTAGATTGATGAATCAACCCTAGCATGAGCTTTTACCCTGGTAAATAGACTCTTGGTAGTATTTGGTCTGGTGGGAACAACTGTCCTGTGGATTAGCGTTACTGTGTTGAGTGGAATAGAAAGTCTACCTTTAGGAACGAAATAAATAACGATCAATTGAGATTATTACAGACCACGTTAAATTTTAAATACCACTAGTAGTGCCTTTTTGTATAAGGATCTATCTCGGGCTATCTCTAACTCGCACTCTTTGTCTTCTGCAAAAATTGCTCAAGATTGATGATAGCGCGGGGCCCCGGATTTACCTCGGCTATTTGCGTATCGTGATCGTGTGGACATTATCGCAGCATTTACTTACCCATCCCTCTCCTCGCCAGCTGGCACAAAGTCTTTATCCATCCTCATCGCCATCGTCTCGACTCCCAGCGTCGAGCGATGCTCTCGACACCACCCATGGCGCCTATCACGGCGCGTTGTGCATGGACCTACGTAACAACCAGCCGCAGGCCATTGCCGCGAGCAACCAAGTTAGCGCGTGTTGGTACGTTCAAATCACTGATTTGCATACGTTCTCGAACTCTAACAGCGCGTCTAGCGTTCAATGACATCTGTCGCTTCTATCACTCGACGAGCAGACTTCACAATGAGGTGAAACCTGCTCAGCCAAAAATAACTGGTAAGCCGGAACGAACGAGCGAAACTTTCAACGGAGCTAAGGATATTCTAACTGCGCTTATTTTTACCCACGTAAACTCCAGGCATTCCTTATTCCTCATTGACAGTCGGCGTACCATTGGAAACTTTCCCGAACGAACGACGTGTAGCCATCACACCGCAGAATACAGCCCTTTTGCTCAAGAAGGGTTTCTCACGCGTGCTAGTCGAACATGGCGCGGGCTCCGAGGCGCAGTTTACAGACGATGCTTACGCGAAAGCGGGCGCGACGATTGTTGATCGCGGTGCTATCTGGAAGGACAGTGACATCCTCCTCAAAGTCCGGGCACCCAGCCTTGATGGACCGAATAAGGAGGTGGACGCTCTACGCGAGAGTGGAACACTCATCTCGTTCATGTACCCTGCACAAAACAAAGCACTTGTGGAAGCGCTGGCCGCACGCAAGGCAACATCTTTCGCTATGGATATGATACCCCGGATTTCTCGTGCACAAGTTTTTGACGCGCTCAGGTATGTCCATTACGTCTTACGAAGAAGAATATGAAATAACTGAAAAGCGTAGCTCTATGGCAAATATCGCTGGATACAAAGCTGTATTGGAAGCTTCTAATCATTTCGGTCGGTTTTTAACGGGACAGGTGACTGCTGCAGGGTGAGTAAGAATTCTGAGATTAGGAATCCGTTATCTAACTGAAATTACAGCAAAGTCCGTTTGGAGCGTGCTTGTGTATTCGAAATTCGCTAACCTCCGTCTAGATCCCTCCATGCAAGGTTTTGGTAATTGGTGCAGGCGTAGCAGGGCTGAGCGCTATCGCCACGGTAAGACCTTCATCTTCTGGAACATGGTATAGCAGCTGATTCAACCTTTTATCTAAGGCTCGCCGTCTAGGCGCGATCGTACGAGGTTTCGACACTCGGTCAGCCGCACGAGAACAGGTCCAATCTCTCGGCGCCGAATTCCTCGAAGTCGAAATCAAAGAAGAAGGCTCCGGTACTGGCGGTTACGCGAAAGTGATGTCCAAGGAGTTCATCGAGGCTGAGATGAAGTTGTTCATGGAACAATGTCGGGATGTTGATATCGTTATTACGACTGCTCTTATACCTGGTAGACCGGCTCCGAAGCTTATTACGAGCGAGGTTCGTTTTGTTATCCGATTTTTCTTTTGTTCGGGCTAATGATTGGAATGCGTTTCTGCAGATGGTGGCAGCTATGAAACCAGGTTCTGTCATTGTCGACCTCGCGGCGGAAGCAGGCGGTAACTGCGCAGCAACAGTTCCAGGTCAATTGGCAATCAGCAATGGTGTTAAAGTGATCGGTACGACGAGCTGATAATTTCGTTCCAAATCATTTATGCTAACTGTATGCTAAGGTTATACGGATTTGCCTTCTCGTCTGCCTACCCAGTCATCCACTCTCTACTCTAACAATATCACGAAATTCCTGCTATCTATCTCGCCTCAAGAAAAGCACTTCGGTGTAGACCTCACAGACGAAGTCGTGCGCGGCTCAATCGTAACGTACAACGGCGAGATCCTCCCAGTAGCACCTCGTCCAGCACCTCCCCCAGCTCCCGCTCCACCTACACAAACTGCAAAAGAAGCCGAGACGAAAGCGATAACACCATGGCAGCAGGCAACACGTGACGTCGCGACTGTAACGGCTGGTATGGGTACAGCACTTGCACTTGGCAAGGCTACTGGACCGGAATTCATGAGTAATGTCTTCACGTTTGGGCTTGCTGGACTTATTGGATACCGAGTCGTTTGGGGTGTAACACCAGCTTTGCATTCGCCTTTGATGAGTGTTACCAATGCTATTTCAGGTCAGTGATTTTACTTACATTATCATAGTTAAAAAAGAATCAGGTTCTGACTTTGCGATTAAGGTATGGTCGGTGTCGGTGGATTGTTCGTTATGGGTGGTGGATATTTCCCTGGTACAATCCCGCAAGCACTTGGAGCATTATCGGTTCTTCTGGCATTCGTTAATGTTTCTGGAGGATTCGTGATTACGAAGCGGATGCTTGACATGTTCAAACGTGAGTCTCATAACTCGTACCTTATTAGATACTTGCTTACTTTGTGTCTTAGGACCAACTGATCCTCCTGAATATCCTTGGCTGTATGCGATTCCTGGTTTATTGTTCGGCGGTGGGTACATCGCTGCGGCAACCACCGGTATGGCCGGTCTGGTGCAGGCTGGATACTTGGTCAGCAGCGTTCTGTGCATTAGTGAGCAGTCTACATGCATTATTGTTATTTCGCTTGTCGTGTTGATTTACACTTCGTTTCTCAGGTTCGATTTCTAGTCTTGCGTCCCAGACAACTGCCCGACAAGGTAACATCCTGGGTATCTTGGGTGTTGCCTCTGGTATCCTTTCGTCACTTTTCGCCGTTGGGTTCTCTCCAGAGGTCCTCACTCAATTCGCTGGTCTTGCCGGTATTGGAAGCATAATTGGTAGGCTTTTAACTGCATTCATCCTATGGTCGTGCAATAACCTGTAAAATAGGTGCTATAATTGGTCGTCGTATCACTCCGACTGAGCTTCCACAGATGGTGGCCGCGCTGCACTCAGTAGTCGGCCTTGCCGCCGTGTTAACAAGTATCGGTAGCGTGCTCGGCGACGTCAGCCATCTCTCTACTCTGCATCTTGTGACAGCTTATCTCGGTGTCCTCATTGGTAATTGCTCGATCCCGTTAATAGAAAGGGGGAACAATGTTCTTACTTTGACTCTGAACTATAGGTGGTATCACTTTCACGGGCTCCATCGTTGCTTTCTTCAAACTTGCTGGTCGCATGTCCTCACGCCCGCTCGTTCTACCCGGCAGACATCTCATCAACTCATCACTTCTGGGAGCAAACCTTGCTACGATGGGTGCTTTTGTGACTATGGCGCCCAAAGCACCGTTCATCGCCGCTGGATGTCTCGCAGCGAATACTGTGCTAAGTTTTCTCAAAGGATACACGACGACGGCTGCCATTGGAGGAGCTGATATGCGTATGTAGTAGTTGTGATTATTCTCTCTTTTACAAGACTGACTTCGTTTTGTAGCTGTCGTTATCACTGTCTTGAATGCGTACTCAGGATTTGCACTCGTAGCCGAAGGGTTCATGCTTGACAATCCACTCCTTACAACAGTAGGTTCGCTTATCGGAGTCAGCGGTTCCATTCTTTCGTACATCATGGTAAATTCCCATCATAATTGTGAAATGCATGCAGTGACTTACCCGTATGCCAGTGCGTTGCGATGAACAGATCCCTGACGAACGTTCTATTCGGAGGAATCGCGGCTCCTGCACAGAGCGATTACAAGATCGAGGGTCAGATAACGAAGACGTCTGTTGACGAGACCGTGGAAGCCCTGATGAATGCCGAGAATGTTATTCTGGTACATGATCACCCTTGTTTACATTCAATAAATTTTCCGTTGGTTTGTTGACACATTGATGACAGGTCGTTGGTTACGGAATGGCAGTCGCCAAAGCTCAATACGCAATTTCTGACATCACTCGAATACTGCGATCAAAAGGCATTAATGTGCGATTCGCTATCCACCCAGTCGCTGGACGCATGCCAGGACAATGTAATGTCCTACTCGCGGAAGCTTCTGTTCCATATGATAGTGCGTTTGTTTCTTTCCCGTTCCTAACCCGCTGATCTATTCGCGAGCTAATTCGTTGCATTCTTGTATTCTAGTCGTATTGGAGATGGACGAAATTAACGACGATTTCTCCGAAACGGATGTAACACTAGTAATTGGCGCTAATGACACCGTGAACCCGATTGCGCTAGAGCCTGGCTCTGCTATCGCGGGTATGCCGGTGCTACATGCGTGGAAGAGCAAGCAAGTGATCGTCATGAAGCGTGGAATGGCAAGTGGCTATGGTGAGCCTAAATTTTAAACCCAAATCCTGCTATGGCCGCTTTCATTTGTTTCTGCCTTGTTTTTCTATCGGAGATAAGTCTGAACGCTTGTTTGTTTCTCCACTTCTTTTTTTCTTCTTCTAGCCGATGTTCCGAACCCTATGTTCTACATGCCGGGAACGAAGATGCTCTTCGGTGACGCAAAAGATACCTGTGATGGTGAGCTTTGCCTCGTTTTCCTCGGAAGTGAAAAATGAGTAGCTTATATGTTTTTGCCTTTATGAAGCCCTTAAACGCGGGATCGAATCACGCGTCGCGTAATGAAGAATTCTTCTGCGATATTCCGGAAAAACGTACAAGTGAGCAGAGGGGAAGTACAAAGTAACATATCGGACTGGTTCTCGGAATCGAATCACACCTCGCGCAGTAATGTATTCTTCCGCAATATTCCGGAAAGATGTACAAGTGAGCGGAGGGGATGTACAAACAGGCATATCGGACTGGTTCTTGCTTATGCTTTCTTGGTTAAAACACTGACTCTTGTATACAGCTGTGTAGAATAGACGTTCATTGCCTTTATTTTTCTACGCTAACCATCATATCTGACATGTATTTATTCATTTACTATCAACAATGCAGGTTTGGTTTGGCTTTGCTTTGCGGGAATCGTGAGGTGTGAGGACTACGCCGTTACACCCGATATGAAGGTCTTCAACACGCGATTTCCTTGTGCATCTATGCCTGCTCGAGTTGTCTCCAATGCAGCAACGGCATCGTCAAATTCGAACCTGTTCGTCAAAACCAATTTATTAGATGAGAAGTCAATGTCGCGCTGAACCTACCTATGCGTTGCTAAAGGCGTCAGATCAACTTTTCCCGAGGAAGCCAGGGCAATGGCAAGCGGATAATCACCGGGCTCGACGCCAACTCAGTGGAAAGCTAAAACGCGGCAAGTCGACAACAAGTAAATACGTACCCCATAACGTGAAGTACCCTTCATAGTGAGCTCCTTCGTCAAAAGAACGGTTATAGGAACGGTCACTTCAGTAATCCCGATTCCAACCTGACAAGTGGCGTTATCGTTAGCTCGAGACCAACTTGGCGGAATGATTGGGGGAGATACGGGGGACACCGCTCATACTTGAACAAAGGTTCCTCCGGGCTTGGCTACAAGTATACCCATCTGGATGCACGTCTCGGCACCGGTTGCTTCTAGGACGAGGTCAAAGCCTTCGTTCCCCCCTTTCTCCAACATGCCAAGCATCTCCTTCAAGAGTTTAGACGATCGCTTCGAGTAGTCCATCTTGCTCTCATTTGGAAGAAATTCAGGTACCGTAAATGTGTCTGTTGCGGCGTACTTCTTTGCGAACTCGATTCGGGATGGGTTGTTGTCGATGGCGAGGATACGTGAGGCACCGAGGGCCCGTGTGACCGCCATGCATAGAAGACCTATGGGTCCGCAGCCGAAGACGGCGACACTTTGTCCTGCGCGCATCTTGGCGATGGACGATATGGCATGTACGGCAACAGCTAACGGTTCCATCTAACCTTAAGTTAGGGTTGAAAGAAAGGAGCAGCAGATATGTTTTTTTTTACCATTGCCCCATCTTCAAAACTGAGATTATCTGGCAATTTATACGCCAGGTCACTCGTCACCTTGTAATAACGCGACAAGGTCCCGCGCCTTGGTGAATAACAAGCTAGACACAACTAGACGCACGAGACGAGACGAGACAACATGAGATACGATCCAAGACTCAAGGGTTCAGAAAAACCTGATAACTTCCGGACTTGCAAAGATCGCAGATACGGCAATGTGTCCACGGTTCAATGGCGACTCGTTCGCCAACCCTTGAGCTGTCGACTTTCGGTCCGACTGGAGAGTTGGTGCAGAAATGAGACATTCTAACATCCACTCGCTTATACTTACTTACCCTTCACAATCACCCCAGAAGATTCATGGCCCAGAACCTAAAAACCAATGAGCCAGTTGTCCGATTAGAATAGTGTGAACGCTGACAATCGGTTCTGTTACGAGCTTTTCACCCAGTTTACCTTCAACGTAGAAGTGTAGCTTTTGGCTGATGAAAGTCTATCCGTAGGCTATATCCAATAACCCTTACGTCAGAGCCGCAAATTCCTAAAGGCTAAAGTCAGGTCAAGACCATTGGGGAAGTACAAGTATCCTACCAGTCTTCTTGACCTCTATCAGGACTTCATCATCAGTTACTAAGAAGATCAAAGTCAGCAGCATTACGGTAACACGAGTGAAGCATAAAACTTACTTTCCGGAATCGGTCTGTCGGTGAAGGACGTAGACAAGACTCCACTGAGCATGAATGACTTGTTCCCAGACATGATGTTCAAGGAGGAGATGTAGGACCAAGATAGTACATGTCACGCGGGAAAGCGATTACCTTCAAGCAGAACCGAAAGTCTTCCTCAAGTCTCAAGCTACTATCGGCAGCCGGCAGCCGGTACTCATAGGAATTTTTGTCTGGTTACAGAAAGAGGAGTGGTTCTCGAGAGATTCACAACGCATCATTGGTGAGCTAAATATAAGCAAGAGATCAGATGACGATTGGACTGCCTAGAACTGACACTTTAGTCTGGGAAGTCGATAGATGAAATCACATCACGGCAATAAACAATGGATTGCTTCATGGATATCCCCGATGTAACTTGATCAGTAGAAGCCATACAACGGAATGAGGGATGAAGTATTGTAAAGTTCGGCTGCAGTTTGACGGGAATGGCGCGAAATCTTGGAATACTTGACCAGGAAGCCTTCGGCCGAGTGAGATGAAAGTATAGCGAAAAACACAGCTGATTGCGTCACTTCGATCTCGAAGGCTAGCGAAACAAGCCAGATCGTTGGCCAGAATTTCTCCGAAGTACACAAAGGCGATACAGTGGCGGCTAAATAGAAGTGAGCATCGTGGCACCATGTATCTCCTCGATTTATGCTGTACGGGAAGGTGTAGATGCTGTAGACGATAGATTAGGTTTGGAATGAATATGGATAAAATTTGTTTACTGGCCATATAGGTGATGATATGCTTAGAGGAGCATGTGAATTTGCCAAATTGTGCAGTAAGCGGTTATTAGTTGAGATGCAGAGTTTGGACTTCCTGGTGAGCAAGATGTCGGAAGACGATCTTCATATTACCGAATTGCACCCGATAGACTAGGTTACATATGATTCAAGTAAAAAGAACTGATAGAATGCAGTTAAATTATATTGGACGAGGGCGCTCCGTTACTTATTGCTATTGTGATTGCTTATATGTAATCCAGCATCTCTACAATAGAGCTTTCCCGTGAGGCTTTCAGAAGGACGTGCAGAAATGAGAACAACAAAGATGCATATGACATCGACTCATGCATGCAGGCGTGTTGAGCGATAGTTTCATTCCTCATTGCATCCGTTACAGCGTCCTTTATGCGGAATACTTCAATGAATTAACCCGACTCAGAACCTTGAGTGTCGCATGCACTTCCAGAATATCATTGTCTGTAAGGCAGAATTCCTGGATTAGGCTTTCCTTGCTTGTGCTGCACAGTATTCGGGTATTTGCGTCATCAAATATAAACTGCAAGAGACATTAGCGAAAGACGGGCTCATGCAGTTTTCAGATATCGAATTGCGTATAAATCCATTGATACGCTTACCTCATTACTCTCTTCCCCTCCAAACCACTCGATAGTGTTCAACATACAAGGCTTTGGATTAGCCCTGTTGTCGAGCCAGAAGCATAGAATAATGTCATTTTTGTAACAAGATCAGACCATTCATCCATATATCTGGGGGACCGATTAGCAATCGATTGGTCTGATCGGGTTGCTGTATCGGCCTATCGGACCAGGTCATCATGGCTACCAGTATATTTAAATAGGCATATCGTGTGCAGCATAAACATTAGCAACAAGCCACAGCAACAGTCAGGTCGTGACAAGTTTTCCTTTAGTAACTCTCTTCCCAGATAATTATATTGTAGTTTGGTTATTGAGCATGTAACTTCCAAGAACAGGGAGACACGTTGATGTCCGGCAAAGGCGCAAAATGTTGCCGAAGTAGCTTCGTACGGACCGTCATCACGTTGAGTGCTAATGAAGAGTATCGAGAATTATACATTGATTCGTGGAAGACGTTGCTACAATCCAGTAAAGGGCATGAAACAGAACTAAGCAAGTTTGACATGGGACTCATTGATTGTAGTATATACATGGCCATCGTTCAAAAGGTCTTCTAATGCCGCGCTGGAAAAAGAATATTAAGCGTAAGTTACTCTTGCTTGAGGCAAAGCTACGAAGCACGATGGACGTACCTGACCAACTCTGCATCAACTTTCATCTCTCGGGCAATTTTTGCGACATGAACGCCTTCGTCAGCTGTTATCGTTGCAATAAATTGAGTAATGCGACGCTGGAGGGGTGTGGATCCGGGATACTGATCGCTTTTCGTTGCCGTCGGATGCGATGTATAATTTGAGTAATTTGCACTCGTGCCACCTCCCAGTGTTGTAGATGCAGCAAACGATCCGTTTGCATCTTCCGCCTTGTCTGAGTTAGATAACTATTCTCGATGACTTATAAGTGAACACGATAATAAGAAATAGACTACCCGGGCTAACCTGATCATTGCGTAATTGCAATGTTACATACATGACTTCCTCTAAATGAAAGTACAGCTCGTGCGCATCTTTTATGGGACGAATATTCGACGCATTGATATAACGCTTGTTTTGGAAGTGTTTAAGAACACCCGTTACGCGGACATATGATCCAGGACTAAGAATCAATATCAGAACGTTTCGGTAATATAATGGCAGCTTTGGTATAGCGCTACTGACGAGACACCGTCATGATCGTCTGTTTGATTCTCATCTCCGGACCCGTCTGTCCATACCCTGGCCTCGATGCGACCGGTACCATCGTCAATATGATACACATTATTAGTTGCCTGGTTCGCGACAAGTATAACTTGGGCGACAACCGTAATCTGGTATCAGTAGTAATTTACTATCTCAGCGTTATTTATCAATGCATAGTATTGATTCGCCTCACTTGCGCGACTTCTGTTCTGTCAATGTAAAGTTCCGCATCGGAGTGCGCCTGGTCCGCTTTCAAAACCTGCTTTATAGTCACAGGTCGAAGGGATTGACTGGCAGCTCGCTAACATATCGAAGAATTAGTGGCGCTATACGATGGGGTACAAAGGAAGGCGTACGCGTTCTCCTCCAGGACTGTTCTGGCTACTTGTTCGCGGTGAACTATTAGCCATAAAGCCACCACCATAATCATCTTAGGTACCTCGCGTCATGATACTTCTAAAGGACATTTTCGAATCTGTGACTTACTCCCGTACATATCAGTATGTTTGACCAACGAGCGCGCTTACAGAAAAGTCGATGATAGACTATGGAAGAGGTCGCAGTAACGCGTCGAGTAGCGCGTTTGTGACGTTTCCACGGCCAAACACGACCAAACGCGTCGTCTTATGTAATTTACACCATTTTTTATGTCTCCGTAATTTTATTCTTATTCTTGCTTGCTTGCCTCACTTCATTAACAAGTCAATGGAGCCTACCCCTGACGTCCCTAGTCCTTAACGTCGTGACTCTCTTGGGTACTCAACAAGCGGTACGAAGCGACTGTTTCACTTGCTATTCTCAAGCACTTGTAATGCGGGACGCTGACGCTTCGCTTTCGCGCTCATGACCGGCTGATGTGCTTGTAGAAACCTAGCTTCCGAGGGCATCTATCTACAAAACACAGGCTGCGAATCTTTGATGCTATTAATTAATTCCCTAATTTGGCCACGTGCTGCGCACTTTCGGGATGCGGTTTACGGCTTCCGTAGGTTTATTTTTCCACTATTATCCGGCTTACCTATGTCATGTCGAATTAGCGCTTCTGTCCGATTCAAACATTGCTTCTGGTTATTAGGTGACCTGAATCAAAGCCAGAAAAGTGTGCCTCACTGGAAGGCGCTTCTCGATATTATTCAAGTCCCCACTGTTTTCCCTGTTTGCGGACATTACTATCGACCTTCTTTCCAAGTCACGGTGCTATACCTGGGTGACCACTCTCTCGTGTATCTCCCGATGGAGCTGTGTCATAACCGTTCGCCAACGCATGACTCAGAAATAATTAAGCTGCCCAGGAGTGCGTCCGCGTCGCAGTTTCTCATTCCCTAGACTAGAAGAAATGGCCATGATTGAGTTCTCCCGGCCGAGCTCAATCTCATAATTGTGCTTGCTTCTTCGCTTAGTCCGGCATTGCACTTGAACTAACACGTTGTTGAACGTTGTTTAAAACCCCTATTCGACCTGAACGTCCGTAGGTTATCGCAGCGGGATTGCACAACCGTGACGTCCGTACTCATGATTTGTCTGCCCATATCAAGAAAGGTATTTCATCGTCCTTCCGGTCTTGTCTGTTATTTCTCATGTGTCGTTTCAAATGCGGGATTCGCTCTGCAGTCCCAATGTTGTGTAACTGTATTTTTTCAAGTGTTTCCAAAATGTGGTCGTAAAAAACCAGGAACAGGCACCGATGGAACCTAGCATTGTCCCGATATGTGAATGGGGAGAACCACTCTGCAAACTTCCTACATTGGCTCGGGGGCTAGGTTTTACACCATCATAGCAAAATCCTTTCGTTCCTTCTGGATGACTATACAGCTGAAAATTGTCGAATCGGCCGGCACTTTTTCGCACTCTGCCAGTCTGCATACTCTACTTGCCGGTCATGCTCACAATAATCAGTTCTTGAAGGAGACCAGTACTCGCATTGGATTAGGGAAACACAGAAAAATGGTGACGTCCATTTTCGTTTTAATCTTCAACCGATCTACAGGAATTGGAAAATGCTCATATGCTCATTCATAGAATTACCAACCTTCGCGCCAAGTTTGCTGGTAGCCACCACAGGAGATAAAGGCCTGTCCTGACGTGAGCTGTGCGAATGAGACACGCTGCCGTACAAATTAGCTTACGTTTTCACTGTTTCTTTGGTCAAAGTCAAAAAGGCCAATAATTTGCCCGACATCGATTCATATTCCTTTTTCATCGCGCTGATCCGGACTTCCCACTCATTTTGCGCGTAATTGGAAGCGTACATTAACTTTAGTTTCTTGGAAACACTAACAGATTCGTTTGCGTGGGAATCTCTTCCACGGCATCTCCTTTACATTGTCCTTCGCGGGAGAAGAGCACAGTACGTTGTAGTTAACCACAAAAAATAGTTCTATAGTATTTATTAATGCTTGTGTCTCCTCCATAACCCTTTCCGTTCTAATAACAATATTTTAGACAAAAAATGTCACGTCCGCTTTGCGAGAGGCGCCTGTCGCTTCTAATCCTAGTGAACTTGAAAACGCCATGTCGTAAGTTGTACGATGTTTGTCCCTCGGCGCTTGCTTATCATAGATCACTGCTAGAAACTCAGTTGTAGCCGGCTTGACTTTGGAACAGACATCAACCAAAGATTTGGTCTCAGAATATGTGGAGATTCCCGGTACAAGTGAGTCGCTTGTTTCATTTCTCAGCTTCCATTTTATTATACATCATCCCAGCATGTCGTCCCCAACACGTGTGTTGTGGTAACAAGCAGAAATCTGTGCTAAACTCAAAAGGAGGAACAAGGACAAAACTGCCCCGATGTCTTATCGAAAGTACTTTCCGATCTTCCAGAGTCAACTGCGCCCTTTTGATCACCTTCTCTCGGGCGAATTAAATGACATCGAAGTAATGGACTGTATTGACAGACTTCCGGGCCTTAGCAGCTTGCTGGCAAGTCACCAGCAGGACATAGTAAACTACGAGCCGACGGGTAATCGATGAAGAAGTGTTATGATACACGCTGTTACAAACCCCGGGACGTTATATCACCACGAGTACGCGGTCTACATTACGCATTAGTTCGGGCATATGCGGATAGTTGATTTCTTAATTATCTTACTGCGAGCGTCAGATGAGTTTAGCCAAGACGGACAAAACTTTTTTGCCTTCCCGACTTTTATTGTGGTGCTTTGTGTTGTCTAAAAGGCATGACTCGCCTAATGCCTCGTGGTCGAAATACAAGCCAAAGTTTCGTGTCTGAACAGCGTGTCATTATATATGCAGACTAATGATGATTGGGTTGGTTGGTCTGGTGACCATGAATAGAAACAATATGAGATCTAGGTACAGCACTTGCGAGTAGTATCATAGCGATCGAGATTCCAGACCCTAATTCTTAACAAGCTCTGCATAAGGTTGGGGACGTGCTGCATAAATTTGCAATCCCGTAAGGATATAGGCTGTAATATGATAGTATCAGCTATTTCCGTTCCGAGTGTAGCCCAACCAGAAAACGTATAAAGCATGCTGTCGACAGAACGTATGGCAGCATGGTTGTACTAGCCTCAACAACATCTCCCTAACAGACGGGATGCTTCTTCCGATGCAGGTGTTAGCGATTATCAGCGGGCCCGCCTTGTCCTAGCAGGTTGCTGTGGGCGACTAAGCGTGCCCTCTGTTCATCGCCGACATTGCATTAGAAGCAATGTCTCGGATGAACATGAGAGCGAAGCTTTCCAGGACGCATTCAATCTTCCGTCTCGTATGTTCAGATACGGCAATTTCACAGCTGCAAGTTACGTATCCCACATGCTCGTTGTAGAGTTGCGTGGGAAGAAGGTAAGCTAAACGATCGTACCAAGGCGAAGGGGATTAGGTTTAAAGCATGGCTCAAGTAAGCACACAGAAGTTAAAGGACAAGGTAAACACTCCACTAGTACGTGTCTAAACATGATATATTATTTTCCGTTTATGTAGGGCGTTTGCATACCAGAGTTTTCGCGACTTGTATTACAAGGGACTCTCGGTTTTCTCTGTCCTGAGCGTCGGCCTGATTCATTAGTCATATGGACCTTACTGTAAGATCAGATTTAGCAATGATTCTCTTAACCAAGATTCACGGAGAAATAACATCAATAGAAATGTAGTTATATAAATAGGCTCCGCCGGGATCGGCATACTTACGGAATTTGCCATCGAAGGTCGGGCGTGTGCTAACCGATATTCTCTCCACTTACCCACATCATCTTAATTTCCCTATCATTGAAGTATTTGTTACGACAACTACATGCCTCGAGTTCCATACGTCCTCCCGAAGCGCGGGGAATCGGCTATCGCGGACAGTATTAGGCTCCGGCGAAAGGGCGAGGAACTGACCGAATTGGATGGCGTACTGTAAGCATACATAGATTACTTATGACTATCGATGCGAATAGATCGAATAATTCATAAAGCCTCAACGCTCCAACGATCGCAGAAGGTTACAATGCGCTCTTAAAGGCGGTTCGTACATCAAGCAGCTTACCAGATGACATCAGGGAATTGATAGTCAGTTGAATGGTAGTAAAGCAAATGAAGGAGTTTGACTAATAATCGCCAACAGATTCTGCGTGTAGCAGCCTTGAATTCTGCATCCTACGAATGGCATGTTATCTGGCACCGATTCAATAATCCATCTAGATCTCGACTAATAATACTCATTATTTCCTTCTCAGGATCCAACACGAGCCAATCGCGCGGAAGGCGGGGCTAAGCACGTCTCAGCTCTTGCTTGTCAGAGACATATCCGTTGTTCCCGCATTGCTCGAACATTTGAACGCTGACGCAGCTACGGGATTGTCGCCATTGCACGCTGCAGCCATGGTCTATACCGATTATGTAACACGATTTGTGGAGATTCCGCAATCCGTTTTCAACAATTTGCGATCCAAGTTAGAAAATGACCAGCAGATGCTCGAACTGACTACAACCGCAGCAGCATATAACATGGTGTCCAGAATTCTAGTGGCTTTGGACGTTGGAGATAAGGCTGAAGAGAAGGTTCCGGTTCCTCACTAAGACTCGTAAAGAAGCAAAAAGATCGGTTGGAAGTGGACGTATTTGGTGATGATTGTCAATCAATAAATATACGAAGTACACGGAAATAAATCGCTGCCCTCTCCAATTATACCTGAAGTGGAATTCTGCCAGTAAAGCGTCTTCAATGCGCCATGCAGATAAATTGGGACGAATTATGTAACTATTGGACCGGAAGCGGAATAGACAAATAAAGTTGGGGTGGAAGCTAGAGCAGATCGTATGACGGGCTTTTCCGTGAATCTTCAGGTGTACCACTTGACAGCGCTCCGAGGCCTCTTGGGAGTCAGACAGAACCGAATAGCACCAGCCAAAACTCGTATGGCTCAAAATCCTATGGGACATATTTGCTCATTCCAAGTACGTATAATACTTAAATTAGAATAACGAAAAAGAATTAAGCTTTGTATGTTGAAAGATGAGTACTAGAGAAGAAGCCAGTCAGCCAAATTGGGCTTTGAATGTTCAGGTTCTGGCTGGGAACAAAGCAAATATGGAGAGCGTATCTTTCAATTGAAGAGCAACTCTTAGTATTCTCACAAGCTCCAAACTGATGAAACGATATGGAAATTACTTTCCATGACAGTTACAGATAAGACAAAAGGCCTACGACAGCTTCGAACAAAGAGCGGACATTCATAAGTAAGCTTGTTGTATGTGTAAGTAGGATTAAACTCTGAGCGGTCTGCCAATATCACAGCGTCTCCCTGTGTATGAATCTCGCAATGTATGAAAAGCCGTGAGTTTGACGACACTATCTATGAGATATTCACCTTTAGCAATTGATCTGAAAAGATTGTAGTCTAGACCCATCTAGACCAGAACGCTACACCAACCGATCTGAACGAAGACCGGGAGAATCAACCCTGTCCGAAGATCGGTCGACACTGATTGAATGCTAGTTTATGCACAAGATTATACATTAATATGCGCCTCGCTCCACCCTAATCTTCTGAAGTTCTGATATGGATGAAGAGCCTGTCCACTGGCATGGGATTGCAGAGAAGCTATACATACAATTGACGAATTATGGCCATTCCAGAAATGTATGCAACATATCTCACAGAATGCCTGAATCGGACATAGACAGATATGGGTTGAACAATGCCCTGTAGACTACTAAATGGTCCCATTAGAGAATCCCAACTATCCATTAAAGAGCATAGGCATAATCTTCTGTGGAATACTGTGTTTGTAAATCCGGTTTATGGGAGGCAATATGCATATCCGGTTGATTCAAACGGTTAACGTGAGAAATGGTTAACCACAGTAGCTCGGTAGTAGTTGACGTATTCATAGCTTGACATCATATCTGACATCAGGCTGTAAAACATTTGATTTCATGTTCACTTAGAACCCCAAATCTGCAGTGACTCATCTAAAGAGCAGAGCAGAATATCAAACAAATTAAAATATATAAAAAATGAAAAGCGTGGCTTGTGTACATAGCACGCGAGTTTCTTGTGAAGTTAGGAAGTAGCATCCTTGATTGTGAGCTTACGGCACTTCGTCCAAGGAGCTAGCTTTAAGAAACCTTGGTTTGATGAAGAGCTCGAAAATCTATATACTTCGCAAGAAATAGGGCACTGATACGTGGCGTTACTTTGCAAATTTTAGCATATGAATTGCTCCTTGTCTTGCGAAAGCGCATATCATTCTGGCTTGAATGGTATGAAATTCAAACGCTCCTGTTGCATTTGCCTTCAAACATGTTCGACATTTCCGAGGAACTAACCGTCCGTCGTAATGATATTTACTGCTTTATTCTCGTCAATCATATGAGATATCTAGATGCACAATGAAGGGGCCACTGACCTTTCGGCACGAGCTCAAGACTATTCATATGTATCTGCAATATAGTAATTGTATTCGTGGGATTTACTGTGCCTTCAAGATGAGTTCATTCACGATGCCCACAGCACGTCTGAACTTCGCCTTGTCCTCGGCACTAGCTTGTATTGCGCTTGTTCCTCTGACACAACCAGAAGGTCCGCCATTTATCCATGTCAAGTCATCGCTGTACCAGGCAATGCTAGTGTCCAAACCATATATATCGTCCGATCCTGGCGGAGATTCTGTCGGAATGCTCTTTAGGATGCTGTATAATTCGCCTATGAGCATTGTTTCTGAGTCTGGAGTATCAGCCTCCAAACTGATCGATTTCGAAGTAGCTGTATACAAGCACGGAGAGCCGTCTTCGCGAGTTGCAGAAGCAATTAATACGTGATTCTGCTCCTTAGATTTAGTAAGAGTGTGGATGGCAGATGGTGTTGGCGGGGCAAAACCGCCGGTAATACCTGCATGAGACCAGCGAACATCAGCACCGCATCAACTCGCAGGCAACTTCCGGTATATACCATGCTGAAGACGTAGTGAGAACTCTGCAGGAGACATTCTTGACCCTTTTGACTATGCCACCAGAAGGTTTCAGAAGTGATACTGATAGGCGAAGGTAGGGTTGGCAGACGCGTCGCTGAAGCGCGTGCAGGTCTCGTGATATTCTTCAAGGGCTACTTTACTTTTTCGGTATGCAACGTGACGCGCAAAGAACCACCATGCCGACACCAGTGTTACTTTCCAGGTGCGTCTTTGACTAATTTCTGCACATTTATCAAAGCAGACCGTGATATTAGATCACTCGACCCATTACTCGGAATCTTTACAGGCGTCTTCGCTTTCTATCTCCACCAGACAAACCCTCGCACAGCGCCTCCTGCCGGTGAAACGTTCAAAGACCTCGTGTGCTGGAAAAGAGACAAGTGGAAGGCTTCTCGTTCGAAAGTTTTCCATTTGGAGAAAGATTCTGAGGCAGAAGCAATGCTAGCCACCCTCTTGAAGGAAGACAAGACTGGTGAACAGACTCAATAACTGTCAAATCTGTAATTTATAAAGTAAGCCAAATACTGAGTACGCTTGACACACAGGGCTTATGCTTGTCAGGTCAAGAAAAGCAGCCACTAAGACGATCTGAATTAGTGAAATGTGTCATTTCCATTCTTGACGCTAGTCCTGGCTCGATCTTTCAATTTGCCAAATTCATCACGTTTAATTTAGGCGGATGATGTGCGGTGCAAGCTTGACAGGATGCACTACATCCATCCATTTGAATAGTTTATGCCGAAATCTAACCCCGCTACAAGGTGTTTTTTTGTTTGTTTGCACTTCCATATTATTGCCCATGCAGGCCAGCCTATGTCCGGACATAAGTTGCTTCATATCATAGTCTCGTCTACGTTTGACTGGACGTCTTCATGGTATTGCAAAAAATTCATATGCGACAAATTGACTCGCGGACAATTAAATTTTTCCAAGAAGTTCCACTTTACGCAGGGCCGGCGGGATTGAGGGTCTGATTCAGATTCCGCCAAGCACCACGCAATTCCATGTCTGTACAGAGACCGACAATACAATCCTTGTTCATTCACTTCGGTCGTGCCCGGTCAAACGTGAATAATAATCCCTCGCTTGCGCCGTTTTTCTCTATCTATACTTTTTGCCATGACTCACAGTGTGTCGCTATACGTTGTCATTCTAACTGTCCCAGCTGTAGTTGTTCTATGGCGGTTCCTCGGACGGTGGTTGCACGTGTATTTCACTCGCAAAATGACTGCGCTATACGACATTCCAAACATTGGAAGACCTAGGGCGAACGAAAAGAGATTGCAAGGAACTGCCGTGGTATGCGGGGGCAGGTTCGGCCCAATCTAATTGAACTCATCTTTCATCGTGCTCAACGTGCCTTTTTTCTGTAAAACAGTATTGCTGGACTCTGGGCCGCCCGTATTTGTGCCGACCATTTCGAGGAGGTCGCAATTGTAGAGCCTGAGGCCTGGGTAGCAACAAATGAAGGAACATCAGACATTTACGATGAGAAGGGGCATCGGCTTGAAAATCGTGGTTTATACACGAGAACCCGTGTTCAGCAATATCGGTCACAACATTGTAAGCAGGAATTACGTATAACTCGGAAATGCGTGATCAATCCTTATCGAAATGAAATTAATGTTCCAGCTTTTCAGCCCATCACGCTGGTTGCCTTGAGGCAATTATTCCCTTCAATTGATGATGAGATCCGACACGTCGATGGCCGGTATACTCTTCCGTCTTGTGTTTTAGCCTGCTTTCTAACATGCATTTTGGATAGAATTTCGGATGCAAACTACAATCTCCAGGTCTATGGGAAGTTTATCGGTATACCCAGAACCGTCCATCCGGATGCAAGCTACTCGCAAACCTTCTTCGTCACCCGCGAAACCTATGAACGATTACTCAGACGTCTTGTGCTGGCCTACTCAAGCCGTATTCGCTGGGTTGTAGGAACGGCGATCGGAGTTTCGCCAGACGAAAAAGACCTGACGACACTCAAGTATGTCACAATCCGAACAGAATACGGGGACGAGGAGTCTATTCCAGCTTCTCTGGTTGTTGGTAAGCAGCCCGAAAGTTGGCTCACATTTGTGTTCTGATTAATTGATCTGTGTCCATCTCAGATTGCAGTGGCACTTCGCAGGCCGGAATTAAATGGCTCAAACGTATCTACACCGACCCAAAGTATACGTCTGTTCTTCAGTGTACTCCGGACATACCTCGTGGAGTACCTGCATTCGATGAAAATCTTAAGATTGAGTACAATGCCAAGCAGCGTTTCGTTAAGTTCCGCGTTTTTGTTCCACCAGAATTCCGTTTCCGGTTGCCGATCCCGAATGGGTATGATAATGCGGCGTGGATGTTCACTTACATGCCTCGACCTGGCCTTGAGCGCAAGTTTCTCATGCTGGAAAGAATGGAAGGACATCGTAGTACGCAGCTTCACTTTTTCATGAGGTTTACTGGCTGGATACTGAACACTATTGTAGTTGAGATGGCCTTCGGAGGGTGGGGTGACCCTCCGCTTCCTGAAAGCCTCTCCGATGTCAAGGAGTGGCTTCTCAGCATGGAGACAGATAAACCAATTCCCGATTGGATTCACGATCTAGTAAATGTATTGCTTGAAATTAACGGCGACCACGAGAAGGAGGTTGGAAGGTATCGTATGTATTTCATATATTCATGGACTGGATTAATTCATCAATGAGACGGTAGCAAACAATTATTGGATCCGTTATGAGCGCGCTCCATACATCCCATCAAACTTCGTGGCAATCGGAGACGCTGTTATGCATGTGAATCCAGCTTTCGGGTTAGTGCTGTTTTCTCAGGAAAAAGTTTCTGAACTCTGACGTACCTTTCTGTCGTAGACAAGGTTGTCAAAAAGCTGCTATCGGTGCTATTTCACTGGATAATATGTTGAGGAGACCATCTCTCCTTAACTCGATAAGCATACCTCGTGGCTTTGGTCGCTGTTTCTTTGAGTTTCATTCGCCCCGGATAGCTGGTGCATGGTACGTATCATAAGATACAATAGGCCTTTTACTTATGAATGTTCATCAGGGACGGAACGAAGCCTACCGGTCAGTCCACACATCTGGTCAACGAGAGTCTCATGAATTTAGTCATCCCTTCTTAGATTATCAATGGGATACAACAACTCCCGTGAAGGGCGAAAAGTTAAGCGACGAGAAGTTCAACGGCAAAGTCGGGGCCCTCATGATGAAACTCGCCGGAATGGTACGCATTGCATCCAGACTGCACACGCTTTCATTCGGCGCAAGACTGAAGCACGTCACTTCACGCTTCTTTATTTTTAGGACCAGAGCGTCAGCGATGCGATATGGCATGTTCGTGTGTTCCTCGCACCACCTACAGATTTAATGCATCCTACAATACTTGCAAAGTTAGCCTGGTTACATATCCGCCAGAAACTGGGCTTGGCTTGATTGGTTACCTGTGCTTGTTCGCTGGCGACATCATTACCATAAATGCGAAGTTACATGCAAGTCGATATGGATTATTACCTTATACTAGATGTATTTGCATTTGCGCATACAGGACCTCGTTGCAGCTCTGAAGTGTATTTAGGAATACAGTGGATCTGTTTTGCTTGTAGTATCAAAATAATGGGTGACTTACTGTAAGACTTTTTGACGTTTCTAGATTCCAAACAAACCAAACGAAAACGTTAAGCAAGATAGAGTAAGTCAAGTCAAACTGTAATGCAGAAAAAACACAGAATTTTTTGTGGCTAAGTCAGAGGGATATTAGTTTACATGAGAGACTAAACTGAGTAAGTAATGATGGCAAATTGACAGTAGCTCAGGTACAATTACTATAAGCATTGGCTAAATGCTTTAGAAATGAGATTTCGCGTGTGTCAAGTCTGAACAGGGAGGGTCTGACACGTCCTTCAGATTTTCAGCCTGGAAGACAACAGGCTGTGACTGTTTTTGGTTACTGCTTTGTTTACTCTCACTTATTTTTCAGGCTTATACTTTTCTGGTACTCATTTGGTTTGTTTGGAAGTTGGAAGCATCGAAATTCCTTACAGGAAGTCACCCAATGAGGTTTATTTATTCTATTAATTTTATTTTTCAAAATATTCTTTCAAGAAAAGCGGAAATAACGTAGACATGAATTAGGACCGTTTGACACGTGGGAACGCTACCGAAACTGAACCGACCAATTATAAAGCTATTTTCCCAGTAGATTATTAGCACTTCCGAGCTTGAGGATATTACAGGCAATCAAGTGCGAAGTACGCGCTATCGAAGTGCACTACTTATGGCCGATCTGGACACTTGTCGGGCTTTGCACACCGCAGAACAGAAAATAAGTCAGTCTGGTTAGCATGCCAAGCAACCTATGCCAATCAACGTCCGAGAACTTGATGGCGTATAGTATATACACGAACGAAGCCGGTAAAGTTGCGGATGAACGAGGGTGGATGCGCAGCAATCTGTGTCTTCTTTTTTCTCTTATTGTCTGCGGAAAGCGGTTCATGGTAAGGTAAGGAAAGTATAAACTCGACATAGTATGTCACATCAGTCACAGCACAGCCACTTTCCCATTAGGAAGGACCCTGATGGCAAAAATCGAGCGGTGGACATCGACATTTTTTTAGCACTTGTAAACACAAAAAAATTATAGATTATGGTTTTACAGCTCAGCCAGAATACTAGCTGGAAGGATTCTATGGCCATAGTATTTCTTATTTGCCCATTGAGCCTGTGCTCCTGTCAACCCCTTTCTATATGCATCCATAAACTGAGCAGACTAGTTACAATACTTACAAAACATATAATAAAATCAATTTTGTAAGAAAGAAAGATTTAAAGTACTTACTTTTGAAATAAATCAAGAGGAATAGAATCAAGGCATGTTTGAACATGCTTTTCCATTTGAGCTTCAGTAGTAGGGGCAGGCATCATCTGGTAGTTGAATTTAGCATAACCCTAGCACTGTCTGTCAATTCATCAGGCTCAATTAGGACAACAGTCTTTACATCCTCTCCAAAACCTGGAGTGTTGAACTCTTCCTTGTTGTCAGTCCATAAGATTTGGCTTGAACTTGTAGCCTATTTCTTAGTAAGCTATATTGTTTATTACTCAGTCTTAAGCACAGGTTTATCACTCCTCAGATTCTGTATTCTGGCTTTATCCCTTCCCTTTTGCTAGGGCATTATAGGCAGAACAGAGGAAAATGGGTCTAAATAGCTGATATTTACTGATCAAATGTACATTACTCATCAGGCACGTGTTCTATATAAGGAAATAATTATATAATAGATATTTAACCGAAGTGGCAAAAATCTTCAGGAAAAAATTCAAAATTTCACCAAATTGCATTTCTGTACATTTGGTATCAAAAAAAAAAGTTTTTTTTTTTTGGAAATAACTCACTCGAATCTCAA